ACAAGAATACGGTACGGGGCTAGGTAGCCAGTAGTTATGCATGTATTTAGATTTTACTGAAATATTTAGTCTATTTAGGAAAATCTAAACTGTTGAATTAGGATAAAAAACTAAATAAAAAATCAGTTCTGGATTGTAAACGGAAGAGCAATTTGCCTTGGGTAAGGCACTAATTACTCTTAATGTAAGCGAATTGCGATCCGCTAACTCGTACTTGTTCTAAGTATAGAACAAAATGTCCATGATCAAAACTACGTTTCCTCACTGCATAACCTGCAGTTGAGCCACAAAGAAGTGGACGGGCGTGTGGAGCGCCGCCTCCGATTTGAGTTTGCCAAACTCAAAGGACACCGTCGACTTCCTTCAGATTGTCGCCCTGCGACGTATGGGTCAACCCCTAAAGCTCCCGCGAGCTCTGTGTCTGCGACCGAAAGAGCTCACGGCCACCGCTTGAGCTCAGCTCGTGGCCCTTCTACTTCCCTGGCTATTACCGGGAAGCGCGGGGCGCCTTGATCTTTCTGATCAAAAGCGTCCTCGGCGTCTGGGCAATCTTGCCGATTGGTGTCTCAAATTCCCACGAGTTTTCGGGGTCGGGATATCCCCGCCACTTCAGTAGATATTGGGTCTGACCCTAGTGACGACGTCGTCTCACTAGACGTTCCACTTGATAGTGGACGTCACCGTTCTCATCGAGTAGAGTCGGTGGCGGGCGGTGGCGACCGAGTCGACCGCCGTCCTTTGACTCGCGATGCTCTTCGAGCCCTTGAAGACGAGATCTTTCGTGATCGGAGCTCCGCTGAGCGTCATGCTGAAGTAGCATATCGCTGCGCGGACGCTCTTGGGGATTCGGAGCGCGTCGTGCGCCGGCTGCCTCACCTTGAGGATTACCGCTCTCTGTCGGAGCGACTCCTAGCCATGGAACAGGGAATACGTCGCTGCAGGCAACGGTGGAGCGCTTGGCTTCATTGAAAGTGGAGGTTGTTGCACTCTGCGCTTAGAACTAGTTGCTAGTTCAATTTCTGGGTGGCCGAGGGCCCGTGGTATCCGCTCTGGCGCCAACGCTTCCGCGTTCACATGCCGGATCCCGCCCGATACGGCTTGAGCAAACCCACGTAAAACACTGGGTAGGTGCGCATCCGTTTAGCGTATACGCTAGGCCCCGCTTGACCACAACATTAAACGCTCCAATAAACCGTGGACGAATCTTCGTCCGGAAGATAGCAGAGGCTGCATGTGTCGGCAGGCTTTTAGGGTATAATAAAACCAGGTCTCCGACGTTAAAGCTTTCCACTTTGTCTCATCCTTTTTCATCTGCCTATTCTTTCTGCAGGTCTTGACTTTCAGCCATCGCATCGCAAATGCGTCGTAGGGCACTCAGTCTGGTAGT